CCTAGTATCTGCAAATTTCGAAAGCTATATGCATGTGCAATGCTAATCAGCTTTATTCGAGCAAGTTTTTCCGCTTTCTTGTTTAAAGCTCCTGCCCACCTTTTCGTTGGGCCCTCAGTGAGTGGTGTGTAAGCTTCCCTGTCACTAAGGACTTGGCTCGCTTTTTACACGTAATCTGTTTTGTTCATAATGACGATTGCGTCACCTTTGTCAGCAGATACAACCGCAATACTGTCATCAGTTCGCAGAGATTACAGCCCCTCTTCCTTATCGATGGGTTGGTTTCGGCGAAGTTCCTTTTCTCGAAAAAGACCATTACCAAAACTGCACATGTCCGCACACATGTCTTCAGGGATAGAAAAAGTCCGTAGAATGGATTCAAGACCCGCCGGGAGGTTTTTGCATGCAGCATCGGCAGAATTGTAAGCTTATTTTAGAAGATTCTGGACTCCCTTTCGAAAGGCTAACATCTCTCGCAGCCATGTTCCGCTCATTGGTAGAACAAAGAAGATATTGCGGTTCTTCTTCCAATTCGGCTCTTTTCTTCATTCTGACGTTTTTCATAGTAGCATTTATTCGTCGCAGTACGATTTCGAATTTGTTTTTAAGTCTGGATGAACAAAATTGACAAATGAATTCTATTGAGCTAGGACGTTTTTCAACGGCATGCGAAAAGCCTCGTTTGGAGGTAGGGCAATTTTTATGGTTAGGATTATAATTAGGGTTAGAAATAGGTTAAGGGTCAGGGCGAGTGTTAGGGTTAGGATTAGAATTGGAATTAGGGATAGAGTAATCGTCAGGGTTAAGATTAAGATTAGGGTTTGGTTTAGGGTTAATGTTTGGGCTAAGTTGGACGTTTGTATCAGTGCCAGGGTTAGCAGGGGAGGACTGCGTCCACAGACTTTTATTACGGTTAGTATCTGTGGTTGGCGTTGTTGAGTTAGTTAGTAGGATAAGAACTTAGGATAATAATTTGGGTATTTCTATTGGGGATATTTTTTGGGGTTAGTGGCAAGAGTTATTCCGTTCACCGGCGGACAACTTAAGAATTAATTAAGACTAGAAGTCATAGTTACTCACTATGGTTAGTAGTTGTAGTTGGCATTTTGATTTAATAGGTAGGGTTGGCAGTTAGGACTAGCAGATAGGGTCAGCTGTTAGGCATATTTTCTTGAATTGGCAATATGAGTTATTCCACAGGCTTTGCAAACGGGGCAAATTGCCAGGGTTGTCAGTTGTAGTTAGTGCGGTGGTTAAGGTTGGCTGCTAGATTTAGCAGTTCGGATTAACGGTTCGGGGTAAGTTGTCAGGGTTAGCAGTAAAGATTAGTAGTAGTGTTTTACAACTGCAGATAATTGTCAGTTTTTGCAGTTAGAGTTAGAATTCAGTTTCGTACGCCTATCTAGTGGCATGTACTTCCATTTCCCCCTTGCACTAGGATTGCCTTTTTAATTTTTTACTTTGCTTTTTATAACCTTCCTACCGGGTTCGTGAGACGGTTCTTCAAGTCTTTCGACAGACTTTCGAAGCCGCTTTGGTGGTTTTTGCATGCTTTGGGACGCACTTACTGTCCTGCATGTCTACTTCGGTTATGATTTCTCATGTACCACGGCCTTAACGTGGTTCACGGTCTTCCTGCAGTTCTTATTCAGCGGACCTAGCCACCTTTAACCATTTTTCGTGAAGCCTAGATCCCATTGCAGTCTTCGTCTATAGCCGCATTCCAATCCTACTGGATCCTTGATCCTTCCGTTTTCCCTTTCCAGACCACCAATCGTGTCCCCTTTAAGTATTGCTGACGGGTTTACGTGTTCTCCCGCCTGTGCATTACTTTTTTACCGCCTTCAGCCACGTTCAGCCCCAACGGAAGAGAACTGCTACCGCGAGCTGCTCCACTTTCGTTTACGGTTGTTTAACTGACATTCTGTGGTTGCTTTCGTATTTACAGGGCACCGTTTTCTCTGGTTTCGTCCTCCCAGCTTTTGTGTTCGTCTATAAACTCCAATCACGCTCTCACATATATTTGATCAACTTTGTCGCCCCCTTATCTTATGCTACTCACTGTTACTGCTGTCATTTTCGCAAGCTACCTTATGTGATGCTGACAACTTCGACTCGGTCGACGTTTGGCATCTTATAAACTTCCATTAGCAGCATGCCACGTCCAACTTTCTCCATCTTTGCCTACAAACAAGGCTTACGACTTCTTCATGACAGCCGCGTTACAGAACCTTCCTTCGAAAGGAGAGGTCGTCCATATCATACGCCATGTGCGCACATCTTGAACACACCCGTTGAGGACGCCTTAGCGGCCGATACTTGGGCGGATCGGCTCACCAAGGTAGCCGAACACGTCCATAGAACTACTAGTTATTCACAGTGCCGACAGTGGGTCACACTCAGTACCCATACTCCAAGGAAGAAATCATATCTTGACGCTAGAACTACAGCAGGATACCCTTAGTGGAACTTGCTGTGACGAATTTTTCGTTAAATGTCTTAATCAGGGTAATTGTGGGCTGTGCCTGTCTCTAGGACACGGACCAATTTTAGACGAATTCTATACAGGCCGCGGAAGCGCGGATGACGTATCAACACACAGGAGTATCTTCGTGTTTTCAACTTCACTTTTCAAGCCTTCGCCAGCAGCGTCGTCTCAATGTGTGTCACTTTTCATTTTTGTACGTGCAACCTTAAGCAGTTCATTCGAAAGTATTATTGCAGCTATAAAGCCTTAATCTATACAACAAACACAAACTTCACGAATATGAGGTAGGTTATTACATTAGTACATAAGGTTTACGTTACATAACCAGTATATTCAACCTGCGCGCATTCAGCAAGCGTCGATTTACCATTGGTATTTCACTGGGCGAGAATACAAGAAAACGTTGACGTTCCAGTAATGTCCGGCGGCTGTTGGGTGTCGTATTCTTCGCCCCGGTTAACCAGGTAGACATCCGCCATATGACTCTGGAGGGCTTCAACATATAGTCCGCTATCAGTCCGAACCGCAGTCAGTACCAAACGTCATCCACATACATCGTCACAGCCCTGTAGGAGAGCAGATCCGTTTTATACACTTTTCGTTTTAGGCGGCCCCAATAGCATTAGTGTGCTTCCCCACAGTAGGATGTGGGAAATTAACACTTTGATTTAACGTATAATGTCAGTGACCTAGGGAGGGCAGGGGGACGTGCTACCAGGACACTGCTACCTGACGCCCCTAGTATCCCATAGTTCCTTTATGAAATCGCATATATTATTACATGGTTACAGGCAATGCATTTCAAAGGATGGCTGTGTTTAGTAGGGGATAACGCCTGGCTCTCTTTACGACCGTAAACTGGTTTAAAATGCATCGAGGCCGATAGGGCAGTAAATTCGAACTCGCACACTTCCATTATCGAACAGATAATGCAAGTGGTCTATTATTGCGTTCTCCAACCGTCGATGTGTCAGCGGTAGTAGTGAGAGCAAATTTGTCTGAAATATGGGATCGAGCATCAGGTGCTCCGCACTTCGGGGTTGGGTGTGACTAACTGACGATGGCTAATAAGCCAAAAATGGCCATTCCAGCCTCCCTTGTTTTTGGCGGTAGCACCATTCTGCCTATATCATGCGTCGCTCTGCGACTACTGGTTGGGCTCAAGAGTTAGAGCACGTAAGGCACAGAGGGACGACTGAGTTCCGTAGAAACGATCGATGAGCGCCCCTCTACAAATGCGCTTTACGTTTATTGCTAGAGCTCAAACCATAGTCCCGGCAAACAGTCTCTTACTGATAGACAAAGCAAGTAGAATTAGCCTAGACAAAAATGCGACAAATATAAGCAATCATTATGGGCCTAGGGGTCCTCGTCGGACAGATATGTGCTACCAACCGTATGCGATGAACGAGCTCAACACCCAACGAAGGCCAAAATGTAGAGCATTATTTGGCGACAAAATGCAAAAGTCAGGAATCTGGTTGTTAAAAACGCACGTATTATGGGACATATTTGTAAACTAGATCATTAATATACGAAATCAGTAAGTACTTGCAGACACCTAAATCTGAAATAAAATAAATCTGCTTGAAAGAACCATGTGTATTTTGTATAACCTTTAGAGGAAAGCAATCACCCACTACCTGTTTAAAATCCGAAACCACTTACAACCAAAAACGTTCACATGTTACCTGGTTGATCTAAGAAATTGGCGAATACAGAATAAATCAACCAAATTAGTTATGGTATTCTGTTTAAACATGCATTAAATACTCTTAATATGCTGAGGGTCTTTTGGAAGGAAGAAAATATACAAACTGGCCCTGCATAAGCATTGTGATGCCAGTCTAGCATAATCCGAATGTCAAAACAATAAATCAGCTCACCGCGACTCTTTACAACGCAGTCCATTCATTTAGTCGCATTCCATAATGAATTTTAAAGATAACAAGTGATATATGATAACCATTTATAGACATTTTTAGAGTTAAAAACGTTGCAGTTGACTGCACATATATTACGTTAAGGAGATAATCCAGGAAGGCATAAATTCAATCTTCAGGCTGAAACTCAATTGTGAGAACACAGACGATCTGTATTATGACAGTCTTAATTTGCAAAATATTGGCATCTTATGAAACAGAATGATTTGAGCTTTCTTGTTATTCAAAAACGATCGCTGGGTTCTCTGATGTATAAACTTTGTACGTCCTCTTACTGATGGCTTTAATTTCGTGCTGGAGTACGCGCCAGTTATATAAATCAAGGTATGATTACAATACTACCGTAAGCTAGGTCTTGACTGCTTTATCAAACAGCCCTACCTTTCGTATCTTCGCACTCGTCATAGCATGTTTTCAGTTCATTGAAAGGTTGTCTCTCCTCCGGTAGACTGTAGTACTTGGCTTCAACGCACTTGCCGCCGGGAGAATTACAGATGTACATGTAATTGGTGTTTGTATGTTCCTCTGCGCAAAAATCAAAATACAACGGTAAAGTCATATGAAAATTTTCATCCCCAAAAGCGAACGTTATACTTGCCTTCCTGGTATACTTGGCAGTTCTCGTAGCACCTCACGAAAGCCTGGAGATTGTTATTGCTATTGCTGAAACTGAAGCAGTTGGACTTGGTGTGATCGCAGAGCTCAAATTTGGCAACGATTTCTCCCTTGTCTATAAATCGAAGTTGACAATACAATCAGGAGTGACATCGATTAACTCCTTATGCTGAAAACCCAGTTTCACTCGCGCTTATTATCGAAAGTGCGTAAAAATCTGCAAGCATCTCTTTTTGACGTTAAACAACTGTCTTAGGAGTAAAAAAGGGCGCACAGTAAATGTTACTACAATGTGGGTGTGTGATATGCATTCAATGCACACGTTTCTAACAAATTCGAAGAACATGCCAATGATCAAGTCAATTTGACTAATGACTTACCGGTAGATAGCAGGTCGCAAATCTGAAGACATTTTACCCAATCAAGGAAGTCATCCCCTCCCGCGGAGGCGTCGTTATATGTCAAGGGGTTGCAATTATGTGTGCGATTAGTACATTCATATGCCACTGTCGGCCGCGCTTCAATTACTAGGAAAAATAAAGTTACGTTGGCAGTTGTTGTATTAAAATGTTTAAGATGGTGGCGAAAAATAAACCTACCGCTTCTAAATCTGCAGTCAGTCAGGCACCGACGGTATGACTTGAAGTTGTCCTGCTTATCAGAAAACGACACGCATCCCGCATGGCGCTGTTTGCATACACTGATTGTGTTGGGCTTACTGATCACACCTGCAGGGCAAAATGTGAGACGTAATAGATTACCGCGACTACTCAAAACAGCAGTATCAATACTAATTTGTCAGTGGAAAACAGGCAAGGTAATTTTTGCTTCCCCAAAAATATGCTTATTCGCACTTCACAATTATTTTATACAAAAATTTAGCGCGAAAATAAAATGTATCGATGTCTGAGCACAGCCATTAAGTATTTCCTTAGAAGACCACGAAATTCCGACTTTAAAATTGCATTCGTGCAGCCCAAAGTACTCCTGTTACCTCAGCATTAATATGACCGCAAGCATTTTCAGAATAAATGCGGGATCCCAGTTAAAAGCTTGATTAACTGCCTTGAGTTTGGAGTTGTTCTTTGCGTTTTTTTTCAGATGAGTTACATGGTTATAATGTTGATTTAGTTTAATCCAGGAAAAGCTGCATGCCCTTTAAGATGTATTGCTTTTAAAATCGAGCTCGTTGACGATCAGTACTGTATCTGATGCTAGGCTACCGTGCTTGATAATCGTATAATATAATACTGTTATGAATAAGTGCCGATTCATGTCTTGATGCAAATTGCAGAAGCGTCCTTCCATTTATTATGGCGAAATGAGTGCACTGTCTGCCGTCGACAGTCAACACGAACACTTTCCTGCCATTTTGCTAAGTTTACGAAATACTCAGAACAGCTTGCTTGGTAAAGTGGAAGACGAATATGAACATCGACATCGCGCTTATCGTATGAAGACATGCAGCAAACAATTGCCTCACAATAGAAAAAAGAATTAGCTCATTCTCCAAAAACAGTACATGGGAGTTAAATGTTCGCAAGCAAATGATTTTCCTTTAAACTGACAGGGAGAAGCACGATCGTTATGCGATTGTTCAGAAAGATTGAACTAGTAGCATTAAGTTTGAGTTAAGTAATGCTGACATGCCTAAGTCGAGAATCCCGGCCATCAGAATTGCGTAAAAAGCAAGCGAGAACATGGCGAACAAAGTTAGCATGAGAGCTCATAGCGTCGCCTTATATATCGGTGCACACTAATGTTTTCTCAAACCAAAGCACGCACGCATATTACTTTGATTGACGGACCCAAACCACGGCATGGACGCTAGCGTTTGAGTGGAAATTTTGATGAAAGTTAAAAACGCCGTCGGCCGTCCTTAGGATGAAACATTTGAGCTAACAAAATGCTGTTATTTTCGCAAAAGAAGAGCGTAATTAATCTTTTATTAAATTGACCAAGTCGCGTCAGCACAACATCTCGAAGCTCGCTTTCAAAGGGTCTTTTCGATTTCAATAACGATAATGAAATATGAAATATTCATTTCAAAGACTGACAAGCCTTTTGTCTTTATTCGTTGTGCCTTTTGTTTAATTGATAAAGAATCCTGGCTCCGTATATATCCTAACATATCTTTTCCGATTTGCCCTATTTCCTAATGGACCCGGTGCTTACACTGAAACACAAGTAGATAGCAAACACCTGGTACATAATAACTTGAAAAAATTGAAGAGATTATACTTGGAAGTAGCCCGTACTTTATTGGACATCGTTTCTACTGTTCCTGCATACCGTCTGTTACTGATTCATTCGTTGTACACCGGCATTTAAAGAGGAAATTTCGACCACTAATTGGGCACTTACAAATGCACTTAGTATGAAGATGCTTATTGCATCTGACGACTAAGCGTGTTTTAGTTTAGATAATAACTGCCTACACGGTGGTGCGCATAATTACAGGCGAGGATGAGGATTTAAATGTATGAAAGTTTAACTGTAACACCAAAGGGAGGATGAACATTTAAATGTAACACCAAACTGTTCTTGCGGGCCTAGTCGACGTTAAAACTTATCAGACGTCTTTTCAGTTGCAGAAATCCGATACATATCATAAAAGTAGGGAATAGAGACATTAACGCTGTCCAAAGTTATGTTATGTATGTTCAACGAATATTATCAAATTAATTCCTGATCTTATTGAAAATAATACTTAAAAATTTGACCGCGGTGGGAAAGCATTAAACTTTTTTAAAAAAATTTCAATAGTTATCAACGACATTAACGGCGTAAATATGCGCTTAGGCTTACAACGATGAAAAAGATCCAAAATGGTTTGGAGCAAAGGTATTCTTTTGTGGCATTAATTATGGTCTTTTGAGCGAATAGAAACTTACACAGGTGTTTACGCCTCGGTTGTAGCCGATGGAACGCAGTGGCATTTGATGTTACTATGTACAATCTCTCAACAACAGTTCTTAATTTTCGCTTGGAAAATCAGCTTACAGTCCTTACTTCTGCGACTATAACCACGTAAACGGCGAAGTCATTTTTGACAAACGTACATTTTCAACTGATAACCGCCACCCAGTCGGAGTCAACAGAGCATTCCGAGTCGTTCATGAAGGGTTCGCCTAAGCTCGCCAAGATTCCGCATCAGCGGAGGTAGCGACTGTACCCCTAACCCACCCTGCTTTGTGATCTCAGAAAGAAACTACGTCAGATGTGTTTATGTAGCCCCACCTAAAGTAAACGAACCCCAGTCACCTGTAATACGGAACCGGTGGTAATAGGGACTTTTACAGGTGGGGCCGGGGAACAAACGGGCGACGAGGTCAAGTAGTTGCAAGCAAAATAAAAGTTATTGGGAATGCATGCTTGTACTTTAAGTGGTTGAGAAAAAGTTATCCTAACCCCAACCCCAACAACACTGCGTCCATTTGGTAGGGTAACATGGTCACATCTTACCAGAAACCATGATAGTTTAAGGCTCCCATGGTTCAAGTTAAGCCCAATGTATTTATTCCTGCATCCTACCACGTCGCACAGCAGTGACGAAATATAAGCATAAGATCTCAGCGCCAGACCCTCTCCACTCCTCATGTTAGTGACAAAGCTAAACTTTGATTACCTTGTGCACATCTGAGTGGTTACAGCCCCCTCCTCATCGCCAATGTTCGTCTGCTGTCTCTTTCAAATTTCGCCGCTTTACCCCAGATTACCCGTTATCACTGTTCGGGTCTGAAAATGAGTGATCGAAAGTGCACCTCCGTCAAATCCTACGTCTCTTGCCCTCATTGGCAAACCCATGGTATTTAGCAACTGCGCTAATTATTCGAGACGGGCGAAAGGATGACGCTGAGGCGGACAGACGGGATGCGATGAAATCGCATTCTTTAAAACTGCTACTAGCACCAAAGAGCGTTTAGGAAGACTGATAAGCGGGTAACGACAAAATAAGACAACAGGGACGAAACCAGAGTCTGTGCTTATTACAACGAAAGTTCAGGTTAGCAGGGCTGATTGCTGAAATGTTTCTTCAACGGATAGAAAACTTGGTGTTCACCAAGTATCAACCAAAGTTCTGGGCTCGTTACGTCGATGACACCTTCGCCATTGTCAAATCCTCTGACGTGGAGCACCTTAAAGAATTACTGAACTCGTTTGACCAGAATATCCAATTCACGATGGAAGCCGAAACAAACAACCAACTTCCCTTCCTCGATGTCCTCGTGCGTCGGTGTGCAACTGGACAATTACAAACTACCGTTTTCAGAAAAGCCACCAACACAAGACAAATACTGCACTTTAACAGCAATCAGCCCCTCTCTCACAAACGCAGTTGTGTCCGTACTCTGTTCCAAAGAGTTGAAACACACTACAGCACACCAGCCGACAAAAGAGTTGAACGACCATACCTGCATGATCTCTTTCGAACCAATGGATACCCAAGCCACTTCATCAAGCAAAGCAAGCGCCGAGTGAACAGACGACGGCCACAAGAAGACCCACCCGAAGTCTGGAGGGCTATTCCTTACATTAAAGGAGTCTCCGAGGCGGTTTCAAGACTGCTACAATCCGCCAGGGTAGGTATTGCCCATCGACCCCAGGCAACAATTCGTCGCCGTTTGATGCAACCCAAAGACATACTGCCACCCATTGAAACCTCAGCAGTTATCTATCAAATACGTTGTAAGGATGGAGACTGCAACTACGTTGGGGAAACCGGACGGAAATTGCAGACCCGCCTACATGAGCACAAACTGGCAACACGGAGACTAGACCCAAACTCACAGCTTGCGGCTCACATCGGGGAAACTGGTCACAGTTTTGATTTTCAAGGAGCAACCGTCTTAGGCAGAGGCACCTCAAGGACTGAGCGTCTCACACTTGAGGCTTGGTACTCAGATGCCAACTCCATCAACAGGCATCTAGACCTTCCTTCGGCCTATAAAGTCCTACGTCACTACATACACCGTGACGAAGACAAGACAATCACACGGAGCCTAAGAATGCCGAGCAAACACGGCCTGTCGACCACTTCACCCAAAAGGGGAACGCAAACGCAACCAACCCAAATTGAGGTGACGACACGTATTACGGGAGGCCACCAACATTCACAAGCGACGGCCAGTAGGCCAAGGCAGCGAAAGAAGACAAAAAATCGATCAGCCCAGGGTCAACTAATGCGGCAGTCTATTAAAAAATGCTGATCGATTTTTTCACTTGACGCTTTGACAATGGAGAGCAGCCCCAGCTCTTCGAAACGTCAGCCAGAAAAGTCCCCCGTTTCGGTGAGCAATTCATTCTCCTCAGATACAACAAAAGTGTCCAGCGCCGATTACCGCTTTTAAGCATGCAAACGGACAAAAATTTGTCCGCCTCCTTCCCACACATGCGGCACGTGGCTGAAGAGGTTATTCCAGTGCGTACTCGGGTTGAACACCAAAGTGAAGACAACATTTAACGGAAGTCACAGTGACCAACGGCTCACCTACCCCCATATCGCCACTGCAAATACTGTCTTGTGCAGAACGATAATAAGCACCTGACACAGGATTCCTGTTTAAAGTCCTTTTATAAGTAGGTAATTACCATAGCGAAGGAGCAAAAAAGATGAGCAGAAGAGTTTGTCCTACAGAAATCACTTTTTACGGGAAATGTACACACAATGACAAAATGCATCACAATATGCGCGGTTGCTTAAATAGTCAGATGATACATTCATGGGCCAACTATATAAAAAGGCAGGAATGAAATTGTATTGGAAGTAATCTAATCGACCGTAATTATCAGTACTTGTTTGGATGCGTGTCCGCAGGCCAAAAAACAAGTTACGACTAAAGAGATATCGCACAGGTGTTGAAGCACGCGATCGTGGGGTGGACAATAAGCAAATTTGGAATGCCCAGTTGTCTCAGGTCACCTTAACCTGGAAGGAGAACTAAAAAATGCAGACGATTAAGATAGAGACCGGAATAACCCACTGAATTTCTTAAAAAAACAGAAATTCATGGTACCTATAGTTCAAACGATGGAGTATCCCTTCGACTGACAGGTGTAGAATGCAAGATTACAGAAAACTCATATCCTCCAGTACATTTGCTAGCATAAACCATTACGTCGTCTCCATCAGTGATAGTACGAATTCACAATATTTGCGCAGATGAATGGGAGACAGACACCAGTTAAATATGGTTAAGATAGGCAAAACAGTAGGCTTCTATCGAAATGTGACATATGAAGAATGTAAATTTGCATTTGGGGTCACCAGAACGCATATTGTCGCAAGAGAGAGTCAGACAAATCATTAAGCGTGTGCGGCCTGACAGCGTCCATTTCTAGCGTTGAGTTGCTGGACAGTGTCTGCAAGCGAAGTCTGGCTATAAAACTGTCCAAAAAGAGCCTCCGTAAAGCCCAATGCAGTCGGCTTGGGCGTTGCCTCAAATCATCCTGAACGTCAGTTAAGGCAACAGTTTCAGAATCGGGATCTTGTTTTGCCGACCGAGAGACGGTGTTGTGCGTGTTGCTTCTCGTAACTGACATATACTCCCCTACGTTCGATAAAATTTTCGATAAGACGTGGTAAGCAGGAGATTCAGGCTAAGTGGCACATAATGAACACGTGGCTTCTCTTGACTTCAGTTGAGTGTCATGCCAATATGAATGCAGTAAATAACAAAATCTATAAAACGGTCTGCCCTG